ATTTTAACAATATTTTATAATTTATGATAATAACAAATTGAAAACTTATATATTAACATAATAAATGTCGAACAACTAAAAATTCTTCAGAAATATTTATTTTTACACTTAAAGTTACGCAATTAATTATTAATTGACCTTTTATTACAGAGATATTAATTTTAATATCAGATAATTTTGCTCTATGGATTGTGTTATGCAATGCATTTAATTTAAATTTATAAAAATGGATAAATATTTAAAATAACTCGAGATTTATCAATTTTATATAAATTGAATTTCGTACAACGTCATTAAAGGTAATAATAATATTTTTTTGTTTATTTTGTTTATATCTTTAAAACCTTCTAACGTGAAAATTTCTTAGTTGTATCATTTGTAGTCAATTAAGTCTTTTTGCGTTAAAGTGCCGACAAAAATAAATTTCTAAATTACCATTTTGTTTTTCTATTACCATTTAAATAACAAAAAATGGAATTAGTGAATTAATGCTTATATACTATTTTATGTCTATTTTTGGACATTTTGCTTATGTTCATTATTTGTATTGAAAAAAATCTTTAATATAATTCAAAACAGCATTGGCGTCTTCATGATAAACATTAACATCGGTTATAACATTTTAAAACCAATTAAATTTTTTTCCAAATCAGTATTATGATATCAATTCTCGTACAATAGAGTTTCTCGATTGTTTGTATTGTTTGTTTGGCTATTAGCTATATATTATTATGTCTTAAATATCGACATTAAAATTGTCATAAACTATAAATAATACCATTTCATGTATACCTTACTTAGTTTGAAATTGTTTTAAAGTTTATTATTTTAAAAAATGTATGCTTTCGGTTTGTATTGTAATTTATCAAATATAACGTTAAAAAGAGCAAATAAAATATTTAACATTATTTTATAGTAAATGTGTAATGGTTTTTAATTACAAATACAGTAAAACCACCAAAGAGCGGTACCTCTGAAGAGCGGGTTCTCTCAAGAGCGAGCATTTTTTAGACTGAAACTATAAATAGAGTTCCGTATCGAGTGGTAATTAAGGTTTGATTGGCTAAAAATGCCCGCTCTTGAGAGAACATAATTACACACCCGCCCGCTCTTATGACGTTTTACTGTAACAATAATTGTTGTTATATTAATAATATATAACAACTTTATCATATAATACATGTTGTGTTGATTTGATTTAATTGAAGTTTATTTCATAAATTAAATAAAATAGACATTTTATCATTTTTTATGTTTATTGTTATTTTAAAAAATCGTAAGTTATAATATATTAGAATGACAATCAAATAAACAACACAACAAATTAATAATCAATCATATTCAAACAATAAAATATAACGGACATTTTATATTTTGTTGTGAAAAAAAATTGATAAGAAAGTTAAAACAAAAAATACACTTTAAAATTTTTCATTTATTATACATCATAAAAAATAAACTATTTATTATAGGTTTTGTTGAAATTTTTACTACCAATATTGTGTATTAAATGTATTGATTATTTGCGTCAGTCTTATTAAAGTATTTTTAAATTAAAATTTACTTGGCAAACAATGTTAATAATATTTAATTAATAACATTGAATATTTAAATATTATTTAAAATAATATTAATGTATATTAAAGTTGTTAAATTATTGTTGTTTAACTTTATTTAAATTTTTTAATTATAATTCTGCGTTTTTAAACTGATAAAGCATGTTTATTTTTTTTGTAGAATAATAATTATTTTTAATTCAATTTAATATTCAATATAGATTATTTTACTTTTAATTATAATTAATAAGTTACTGTTTAATTAAATTAAACCCTAAAATGTTTTGTTTTGTTTGTTGCAATTGGATTATTCCACAAACCTTTAAACCAGAAATTATTGTAAAAAAAACACGAAAAAACAATTCGAATAATATATTAATAAAATTAGAAAGTCGTTTTACATTTACTAAATATCAATTTGCCTCATCAAATATTAAAACAATCAAAATCCAATTAAATTAATCAAAATATATAGTAAATATTGATAGTTTAAATATTTTATTTCCATTTTCTTTTGCTTATTATTAATCTTTTTGTAATTGTTAAAGCAATTTATTCTTTTGTTTCACCATATTAAATATATATTAATTATTGTGTGTTATTTAAAAGTCATATATTTATAATTAATACGTATTTTACTGTTCAATTTTAATTGCCATTTGGCTTTTTGATATATCTTTTTTCAAAACAATGAAAATCAAATCCAAAATTAACATTAAACCCCCTTTGTTTGCACGCAAAATGATATCGTTTGTTTTAAAAATTTATAAAATAAACACAGAGTTGTTAATTACTATTTAATTTTGCGTCGGTTATTGATTATTTATATCTTATTGTTTTCATAAAAAAAACTATTTAAAATTATTTCAAAGATCTTTTTTTTCTAGTATTCTAAAAATATACATTTTGTACAGATTTTTCTACAAAAATTATTTTGTTGCAAGTGAATATTGTGTCTTATTTTATGCTCATAATCGGGTAAGTAAAACATCATTTTTTTGTTGTTTTCTTAAACCGTTATTTTAAAAATACACACCAAATTTATAAAAAAAAATTGGTTTTCATTAGTTCGAATTTATAATGTTTTATCAATTGTCTTATTTAGCCTGATATATCTGATTTTATCGACTTAACAAGTCGAATATTATAAATCATAAGACAAATTATATTCAAGTGTTTGAATTATGATAATCATACAATTTTTTGTTTACAATCCAAAAATGGACTCAATTTCGAAAAGTAAAAAATAAAACGATATCGATTTAATTAAATTGATGTGTATATCAACTTAAATTATGTATAAAAATATTATTTTGTAATACACGTTTCATTATAATAAATGTTGATAAACTGATAAATATATTGATGTTACTTTTTTAAAATAATAATATTTTAAAGATCAATTTTATTAACGAAAAAATCTTGTTATAAATTTGTATCAATTTTAATCATTAAATTTATGTAATTAAATTAATACATTTTGTTTAGTTTCATCAATGTATTTTTAAAAATAAACAAAATGTTTCTGTTTTTTGTTGTTTTTTTATATTAGTTAATTTACTATATATTGTAAATCAAAATGATTATTTTATTTTGGGAAACAGTTTTTTTATCGTTTTCGAAGTTTTTCTGTTCCAAAAATATTAATAAAATCATAAAACTAATAAATTATAATTAATAATATTAACAATTATACTATTATTGTTTACACTAAAATATTTTAATATAGAATGTGATTATAAACCATAATATTTAATTTGATATATAATATATTTACTATATATTTGATGATTATTTAAAAGGAAATTGTCATTATTTTAGTATTTATTTTTGTTATTGTTGTTTAATGGTAACATAAAAATAAACAATATTTGATAAAAAGATTTAAAAAACAATTTTAAACTAAAACATATATTAACTTTGCTTTTAATCAAAAAATTGGTGAAATTTTCAAATATTTCTCAAATTTTTTGGTTGGAACCTCTTTTGAAGAAAAAAATGTGTTTTTATGGGAGAGAGTTAACACTAGCTCCCTGTTTTTTTAAAACAAAAATTCGGCAAAATATGGAAACGCCTGATTGTGCTGTTTGTGCATCCCCATGTCACCCACTTTCCTTGTCCGTACTGTGTGGACGCGGATGTGGTTCGCCCCCGCTTGCGGGGGGGGGGGGGTCAGGGGGATCCGCGCCAAGGGAGGACTTGGAAAGTGGGTGAAACGGTGCACAAACAGACTGTTTGAGTGCGTCTTTATGAGCCTTCTTCTCAATGCTCCGTCTCGCTCGGTTTCCACTGACTTGATGTGATTTTTCGGGATTTTTTGAATTCGGGAACCAGACCTAATATCTTTCCAGTTTCCTATTTACTATAATTTTAATTTGAATATGATTCGAAATAGAAAAAAAATAAATCTATTTTAACACTTAAAATAACGCCCTTGTTTTTGTTTTGGCCTGTTTTTACAGTGATATCAATACATTTTTAAATGATTTTCCTTTTTTGGCTTGTGTATTGTTTATGCACATAAAACAAACTCTTAAAAAACGGAAATTAATTTAATAAACTCGAGATTTCCCTATTTTTAGACCACTTGAATTTTGTTCAATGTTATTTAAAGTGTTAAGAGGATGTGGTTGTCAATGTAGGTTCTTTATGTGGAGTGATTAAAAAGGTTTTTTTAATGTGTGTATTTTTTTCTTTGTTTTTTTATT